TTCTTCATGTGCGCCGTATCTGTAAACGTGTGTGTCGTACCTGCGTTCCGGGAAAGCAATTAAACCGTTCAAAGAAAACGAGACTTCTCTGGACGGCTGGAGAATGTTCCCGAAAGGAGGCAAGGGAGTATAAAAAGGAATAGACGATCGCCGAAGAAGAGTAGAAATAAATTGACCGTTGTAGAAGTGAAAGAGTAGAAATAAATAGACCGTTGCAGAAGTGAATCAAGAAATAAATTGACAGTGATAGAAGTGAAATAAATAGAACAGTGAATAGTAATTAGTGTAAATAAATAATTTTTGTCGTTGTGAGTCTTAAAATTTAATTTGTTAAACCCACGAACATTACAACTGGTGTCAGGTGTGGGGTTGAGTAAAAGACATCACAATGACAAAGAAGTTGAACGAATTAAAAGTAGCCGAGTTAAGAAGAGAATTGGAAGAACAGGATGAAGCGACAAGCGGTAACAAAGCGGAACTTCAGTGGCGGCTCGCGGAGGCGTTGAAAAAGGATGGCCATGATCCTGAAACGTTCCTTTTTTGAAGACGAATTGTCGCAAATGATAAAAAGTTTAGAAAAATTGGAAGAAAACAGTAAAAGTTTGGAATATAAATTGGAGGAAAACAGTAAAAGTTTGGAATCTAAATTGGAAGAAAACAGTAAAAGTTTGGAAAATAAATTGAAAGAAAACAGTAAATTTTTGATAATAAATTGGAAGTTGGAAACGTGAATAGGAAGAAAATAGTGAAAGTTTGAAACGTTAATTGGAAGAAAACAGTAGAAGTTTGAAGAATAAATTGAAAGAAAACAATAAAAGTTTGGAAAATAAATTGGAAGAAAATAGTAAAAGTTTGAAACGGGAATTGGAAGAAAACAGTAGAAGTTTGGAGAATAAATGGAAAGAAAAATTTAATAAGAATATTCAAGAAACAGAAGAGAAGATAAAAGTGCTGGAAGAATTGATTTTTAATGGAAAGACAAAATCAATCGAAGGGGATGTTCAATCAGCCAAGGAAGCGGTGTAGAGTCAAGAACACGAGTAAAACCACCAACGTTTGATGGAAAGTCCTCATGGGCCACATACCACAAGCAATTCGAGGCGGATGCTAAGGCGAATAACTGGGCGCCTGAAGAAAAAGCCACTGCGTTGACCGTTGCGCTTCGTGGAGATGCATGTGACATTTTGAACACCCTTTCCCCGGAAGAGTTGGCGGATTATGAACAGTTGGTAAAACGGTTGGAGTTCCGCTACGGCGAGGCTCATTTAGCAGCGGTGTTTCACATTCAACTGAAAACCCGTCAACAGAAACCAACGGAATCCCTACAACAATTCGAGGGCAATATTGCGAGACTGTCCCGACTGGTATATCCTAATACTCCAGAAGAATTGATGGAAAGGTTGGCAGTGGAGGCATTTACTGATGGACTTCGGGACAGTGACACCCAACAACGAATACGCCTTGACCGACCTAAGACGCTAGCTGATGCATTGGCTCGTGCATTGGAGTACGAAACTGTTAAACGGGCCTATAGCAGACAGGGAAGGGTTCGGCTACTGCGTGAAGAAACGGATTCGTCAGAATCTCTAGAAGAAACCGTCTGCCGAATCATCTCCAAGTTCGATAAAGAAACACGAAGGCTAAGATGTTGGAATTGCGGCGAACTAGGTCACACGAGAAGGCAGTGTAGGAAAAGTACTCCTTCCCCAAGTACTCGACGTCAACAGCAGGAAAACTAGATAGGGTCGACGTAACGGGGCAAACGTTGACCCACGGACAAAAAGACCCCGAATTTATCGCATTTACGAAGACCTTGAAGCACCAGAATGACAGTCTACTCCTAGGTGGAAAAATAAATGGCCGAAGATGCGTGTTTCTTTTGGATACTGGGGCCACTAGGAGCATAGTAAAACCCGGCATAATTGAGGGTTCTAACCAGGTCGTGTCAACTAAGTGGGTCCTGCGTACCGCTACCGGAGAAAAAGCGGTTGTTCATGGCGAAGCTAATGTCTCACTTGAAATCGGTAAGACTGTCTTCGACCATCGAGTGCTTGTGGCAGATATTGAAGATGACGTTATTCTTGGGCTGGACGTTTTACAAAAATACGATTTTGACATGAATTTAAGAAGACGCCTTCTGAGACTAAATGGCGAAGAATTCTATTCCAACGAAGATAGACAGGAAGCTGTAACCCGAAAGGTAAATTCTGAAACAGTACCTGTTGAAATAAGTGGAGTGATGGACAGACATTGTAGGAATCTAATCAGTGAGCAGAAATGCAAAGTGCAACATCTACTTTGTCAGAATTCCGACGTCTTTGAGACTGACAAGAATGGTAGGGAAAGGACCAATATCGTAAAACACAAGATCAATACCGGAAATGCGCAGCCTATTCGACAAAAACCTAGACGATTACCCCTGGCCAAAAAGGAAGAAGCAGAGCGAATAATCCACGAAATGCAGGAGACCGGCATAATTGAGCCATCCTCAAGTCCATGGACATCACCGGTAGTATTGGTAAAGAAGAAGGATGGAACAACCCGTTTTTGCGCGGATTACCGCCAGCTCAACAACGTAACTAAGAAAGATAGTTATCCATGGATTGACACACCTTGGATATGCTTTCTGGTTCGAAAATGTTTTCCACACTCGACTTGAAGAGCGGATACTGGCAAGTTGCTTTAGATGCTGCCGACAAGGAAAAGACCGCATTCTCGATCGACACGGGCCTTTGGCAGTTTACAGTTATGTCTTTTGGTTTATGCAATGCTCCGGCGACGTTCGAAAGGTTGATGGAGAAAATCTTGAGTGATCAAATTGAAAAGACCTGCTTGGTATACCTAGATGACATCATAGTGATTGGAAGCACCTTTAATGAACATCTACAGAACTTGCAAGCGGTATTCCAGCGGTTACGCGAGGCCAATTTGAAACTCAGTGCCACCTTTTCCGGGAGGAAGTTTCTTACTTGGGTCATGTTGTTTCAGCGAAGGGCGTGGCCGTGGATCCGGAGAAGATAAAGGTCGTGAGAGAATGACCAGTGCCTGAAAATGTTCACGATATAAGAAGCTTCTTGGGATTGAGCACTTATTATCGTCGCTATGTTTATGGATTCGCCAATATCGCCAAACCTTTGACACGTTTAACCGAAAGTGACCGCAAATTTCATTGGGATTTGGATTGTCAAACGGCATTTGACACATTGAAGCAAGCTCACAGCCCCCGTACTGGTATATCCTCGGCCCAATGGAATGTTCATTTTGGACACCGACGCCAGCAATGTGGGAATGGGAGCCGTTCTTTCGCAGTTGCAAGATGGCCAAGAGAAGGTAATCGGCTATTTTAGCTTAGACCTTATCAGCGGTGTGAGCGGCTTACCGATTCGCCGACTAGCCGCGGGCGCTTTTCTTCATGTGCGCCGTATCTGTAACAATTAAACCGTTCAAAGAAAACGAGACTTCTCTGGAAGGCTGAAGAACGTTCCCGAAAGGAGGCAAAGGAGTATAAAAAGGTAGAGACGATCGCCGAAGGAGAGTAGAAATGAATTGACCGTTGCCGAGGTGAATCAAGAGATAAATTGAAAGTGATAGAAGTGAAATAAATAGAGCAGTGAATAGTAACAGTTGTGTAAATAAATAGAATAATTACCTAAGTTTAGTAATAAGTTAATAGTGTTTTTATGTCTTTCAATAATAATTAGTGTAAATAAATAGTTTTCTTCTTAAAATTTAATTTGTTAAACCCACGAACATTACAATACGTTTGCTTATTTGAAAGCAATGCATTTAGAATTAGTAATGAGCTTAACAGCAGATGGGTGGTAATTCGGAAAAACAGCAAACCACCTATGCATTGGACGAGTGACAAAAGTGTACCCGTAAAAGGTGGGGTTATCGGAGTTGTTTCTCTCAGAGGGAGTAGGGTTTTTAAACGTGCAGTACCCCAAGTGTGCGCTTTATCAATCAACGAGTACACTTGTTCAATTTTAACGTGTAATTATAGACTTTAAATTAAAAGGCAACCTTTTAAGGCGGCCGGAATGTTTTATGTTCGTAATATATTTTTAGAATTTTAGTCATAATTGTATTTATTTATTAGTTTATTTGTTTTAATTTTCAGAAATCGTTTTATTAATATTGATTGATTGATTAGTAATTTCAAGGTGCTGCCTTCTGCAATCAACTTTTTCCAAATTCCGTTTTATTCCTGCAAGAAACATTTCTGCCTGTTCAATAAACATTATACAATTCGGTATTTCCAGGATTGGTAATGTGCACCACCCTGACGGCATCTATGTAGCTTGAATCCGCTTCGACATATTTTTATAATGGGGATAAGAAGTTATATTTTATGAATGGTAGTAGTTAAGAAGCAAACGTATTTTATCATCTGGCATTCAACATAAGCAAATATACATGTGTAGGCTTTTTCCTCTTGTTGTTTAGGGGTTGTTCAATAAAAGCCTCCGGGTAGTAGAATATATATATAATAAAGTTGATAATGAGGTTAAATATCAAACAGCAATACGAGTAACAATCAAGAACTAAATAATACAACATATAAACACTATTTAATGTAGTGTTCCGTCTTCCAAAACACACGTCTTCGTATAATCACCATAAATACATCTTCCGTCTTTTTGAACAAAATGCTCAATGTCTAAAAGAATATACCGCTACGTCTTAAACCTCTTAGTCTCTTGTTCGTCTCTCACTGCCGCGGTGGTCTCTCACGTACCCCAACATGTACGCAGGTAAAAATAGAATATTAATTTGCCACTGCCTTAACTGGCAATATCAAAAAAACTATATTATACTAGATCAAATCCTACACATATTTGGGCGAGTTTCTATAAACTTTTCTTAAAGTGTTATTTTTATTTTTGTGTGAGTTTTTTTTATCGAGTTTGAACATTTTGTCTGTGTGGTACAGCAGTACATCGACAATTGTATCATTGTCACATCTCGCAACACGTTGTTTTAATCACATTGTTTTATAGATCGCACTTTCCGAAAAGGATGCGTCCGTTAACCAAGAAATAACAAAAAAACTGAAGGAAGCGATTGTTATATTGGAAAATAAGCTGCTGGAGGAAAGACAATGCGCGATTAAGCAGGATGCGATTCTTGCAACTCTAAAGAGGTAAATTATTTTTTAACCAAATTTTATTGATAAAAAAAAAACCACAGCCAACGTTTCATCCAGGTAGTTGAACTTTTTCAAGGCTAGTTTTATTTAGTCAAAGTAATACTGATGGAATTTGGTTAAAAGATATGCCCAGAGATCAATAAACATTAATAATAAATTTTTGTATAGATAAAACTAAAAACTAACATAACATTAGTTTTAAAGACGTTGCACTAATAAAATTGTAAATAAATAAATAATTAAAAACCACGTTGTGACAGTTATACACAAACACTTTTGTTGTTTTATTATTTTAATCGTACAACGTTTTTAAAACAATTGTTATGTTAGTTAGTTTTTACAGTTTTATCTGTACGAAAAATCTTAATAATCTTTGTTAATGGTTGTTGATCTCTGAGCTTGTCCTTTAATCAAATTCCATCAGTATTATTTTTTGACTAAATAAAACTAGCCTCGAAAAAGTCCAACAATCTGGACCGTGGTTTTTAAAGAAATATGAAGAAGAATTTGTAATATTGTCATTATATTAACAGTTGGCGTTCGGGCAGGTAAAGTAGGTAACATGGTGTTAGGCTTGTTTTCCTTAGTTGATTAGTATGTTTGAATAAGTAGAAAATAAATTGACAAAAACTAAATGAAACTTTTAATAATATGATGGTCTGCTTAAAGCAATGAAAAACTCAAATTTGATTGACTTTTTAATTTCTGAATAGACAATGTATACAAGATAAAGAAGAAAACGAAAAATTACATGACACAATTGAAATTTTATTATCGGAAAAAATAGAATTAGAAAACGAGGTGGAGAAGAACGCTGAAAAATTTAACGAATTCGAGGAAGATAAAGATAAACTCGAAGATCAAATACAAATATTGATGATGCAGATAGAAACACTGAAAGTCTCTCTTCGTAATGAAAGAAACAAGCCTTGGTGGATAACTACTCGAGATATGTTTAGGTATCCATTTGCACTGCTTAAAATTGCGGCTGTTACAATGCTTCCAGCTTTACCGCAATTACCAAACGACGACTCTGAAAACAATTCTCGAATGGAATGAAATGTCCTGTTAATACCTTTATGTGCCCCCTTCCCTTTTATAACCCTTATACATATGTATTTTAATGTTTAAGTTACATACTTAAAAGAATGTTTGTAAAAAAAGTGATATTATAATACGAATTATTACTAATATGTATTTAAACAAATCTGTAGATTAAATACATACACAAAAAAATGAGACACTTGATCTCTATGTAAAGTTTGAATCTGAAGCTGCAGTAAATAATAGTCATAGTGGATTTCGGGACGTAATCCTGAATTAGTGGGGTAAATAACGATCCCACAAGCACCGTCCCGACTACCCTGCTAGGGAAAACTTTTTTCCTAGTCCACCTTATGTATACATAATTAGGAATACCACGCTTTTCTATATGAAGGACGTTTCAAGTAAATAATGTTAGGACCTAATAAGGAAATCCGAAAGGAAACCTCGATTTTAAATCGGGAAAAAACCCTGTCAAAACCTAATTGCAAAATTGTTATTACTGTTTTAGGAAATCTTTCTCTGTAACGGGAATTTGGTTATAGACTCGGACTAAATCTATCATAGAGAAAATCATTTTATTCGCTAATACATGAGCAAAATCATTAATGTTCCGTACAGGATATCTATCGGGGATGGCTCCAGCGTGGGGGGCTTGGTAATCTCACATAGGCGTTAGTCATCGCCTTTTTTCGAAATAATGTACATGAAAATGCTCAGGAACTAAAGGATGGACGAGCGATATGTAGCTATACCATTGTTTCTCTTTTTACTACAATGAATCTGTCCGGAACTAAACGTCGTGGTCTGCACGCCACAGGAAATCAGAGGTAGTGTTGATGTAATGTCTTACTAAATGCTTGGGAAAAGTGGTGAAACCTCGGGGTAACAATAATGACGGAAAATGCTAAAGTAAATCATGGTACACAAACGAAGCGAATGTTAAGCTGGGTGAGCTCATCCAGGTCTCTCAGCAATTGGCAGTGTGTTAGGAAGTAGGCACTAATGATGGATTTTGTGACGTCAGCTTGTAAAAACGCTATGGGAAACTTCTTTACAGGCCCAAGATTAATAACGTACACCTATCCAAAACACCAATCACCTCACCTCCAAGATACTCCCATGCCTAAATCCTAACCCACACCAATCGATGACTCATCTTCCCCGTTAATTAACATTTGCGAATCTTAAAATTTGTACAATAAACACAAACGGATGGAAGAGAAAAAAGAATAACATAATACACACACTAAATAATGATTCTATACACATTCGCACTACAAGAAACACTATCTACACGCAAAGAACGGCAATACATAGCACAATACAACATCTACCGAAACGACAAACTACTCCACAGAAAAGGGACGGCGCTAATCATAGACAATTCCATTGCTTCTAACCGATTTTTCGACTGCTGCACAGCTACGTTACACCTTCACTCCGGAGATATTATTATCTTTTCGTTTTATAACAAACCTTCTACCAGGCTACCAGTCGAGTTCTTATCCTACGTATCAACTATTCCTAGAGCTATATCTGGGTATCGGTGAGATAAAACAGTACCCAGACCAACCGGGCTCGCGTCCATGGCAAGCACCAATGGTACTGAAGGGTCAAAAAACTGTAAAATTTTATTACTAACAAAAGCTTCTTTAGCTCGCTAGAAAACTACTTCTTGCGGTTCTTTCCATTCGAACTTATTATTATTACACAGTAACTGAATGAGTTGATGTAAAATTGTACTAGCATCTTTGATGAATCTACTGTAAAAATTTATCATGCCACAAAAGGCTCTGACCTCTGTAACATTCGTCGGCCTAGGCATGTTAACAATTGCATCAAACTTAGCTTTATCTTTATGAACTCCATCTCCATCAATCACATATCCGCAGTACTTAATACTTTTCGCATAAAACTTAGACTTTTCGACATTTATTTTGACATTACAATCATGTAAAAATTTTAAAACTTTGTCTACGGTTTGTAAAAATTCTGTAATTGATTTAGCTGCTATCCTAATGTCATCTTGGAAAACTTTAACTCCTTTTAGATGCTTAAGTTTTGAATCCATGAATTGTTGCCGAATTGCGGGTGCTGAAGCAACCCCAAACATTAAACGAGTAGGTTGCAGCAATCCAAGTGACGTATTTAGTGTTAGGATTTCAGCTGTTTCGGGCGTAACTCCAGCTTGTAAATACGCGTTTTTGACATCGAAAATCGCGAACGCGATACAATTAGGCAAATCGGTTAGCAATTCATCAATGGTCGGTAGCGGATGCTCACAAATTATTAATTGGGGGTTTACGGACACACTGTAGTCGCCACATAAACGTATTGACCCGTCTTTCTTCATAATAGGTACAATAGGGGTTGCCCAAATAGAAGTGTCTACTTTGACTAGTATCCCTTGTTTAATTAAAACTTTCAACTTATCTTCAACTGGTTTAATTAATGCAAACGGCAAGGGCCTGGCACGTAAGAAAACTCCCTTTGCACCTTCTCTCAAAGTCAGACTGGCCTTGAAACCCTCAATTTCTGTCATATCTGTACTTAGGACATTTTTGTATTTGTGTAAAAGTTGCTTAACTTCCGCATTAACATCAACATTTGCTGCTTCCTCCACAGCCAAAACTGAATCGAAAATTGCATCCGCACCTTCACATTTGATAAACTGCATTACCCATTCTCGACCCAAGAGTGGATCACGCTGTACATCTGTAACATACAAATTAAGTGTAAATTTTGAATTTTTGAAAACAACATCAACAGTAACATAACCGAGAATATTAATAGGTGTTTTGCAATATGATACTAAGTGTAAATCAGACTTATGCAATTTCAAACGAGCCCTTGATGCGGACAGGATCCTTTTGGCTTGATCAGCATTCATGATAGTCACAGCAGCTCCCGTATCCACCTCGAACTTCACCTTGACGCTGTTGACCGACACCAAGCAGTATATTTTCCCTCTGGAACTGACTGAGCTCCTCCAGGACACACAGGGTCAATACTCCTCGCAGTCACTATCTGAATCACTAGCCGCTCCCAGATAATTCACCTCATCAGTGTTCGTTTTCTTCTTGAAGCACACCTTCTTAACATGTCCTAGTTTTCCACAGAATCTGCACTTAATTTTACTAAACAACTTGCAGTTTTTTGAATAGTGGCTCCCACCACATCTGTAGCACTGTACTTGCTTACTTGGCTTATCATTTTTGCCATCGCTGTTGTATTTCTTATTGGGTTGACTGTACCCTGTATTATTTCTATTTTTGTACTTCTTATGTAATAAATCAACTGTCGCTGTACTCTGAGTCATAGCAGAAAATTCTTTTGACGTGAGCTCCATTGAAACTGCTGTTTGTAGGGCAGATTCGAATGTCAGATTCTTAGCTTCTAACAGTCGATTTTGTGTAGGCTTATCTGCTAAGCCAATAACAAACTGATCTCTGAGTGCTCTTTAAGCATGTTCCTTAAAATCACAGTTGACACTTAGTTTGTTCAATGCATTTGCATAAGCTTGAACTGACTCGCCTTGCTCCTGCTTATTAGTGTAAAATCTGTAACTCTCCGCTATCTCAAGCACAGTTGGTTCGTAGAGTTCTTTGAGTTTAGCACAAATAACATATCGTATGTCATTGTATAGGGATCGTCTACTCCAGACTTATCACACAATGTATTGTAAACTGCATTTCCAATGTAGTGTAAAAGGGCTTTGGCCTTCAGCCCCTGGTCCCAGCCAGCTAGTGTAAACGCGTCCTCGAATCTCTTCACCCAGCGAGTCCATGTAATAACCTCGCTGTTGAAAAATTCAATCTGCAGTGTATTTGATGTGATTTCTGACATCTTGCGCTGTATGACTGGGCCCCAAAAGGAGTTAATGACCATACTTTGTCGTAACTTGAATTTGAAAAACACGTGCTAGTTTGTAGGTTAGCTACACTTGTATCCGCTCCTGCGATCGGCGCCGTGTATATAGATGTATTGTAGGTTAGAGCCGGGCGTGGTTTGTATGTACGTAAAAATAAATGAGTAAACTGCCTTTTTATCCTCGCCGCCAATTGTTAGAATGTAAGGAGGAGGCACTTGTAAAGAACAATAGCAGTTGCATTACATTAAACAACAAGATTGCATTTATTAATCAGTATTCTTCTACAATGTAAAAAGCGACCATGCGCTACCGCTCTAACTCTGTATCTTTCGCAACATGCGCGCTGCTCTCTACGCTCACACATACTCTCTAGCTACCGCGTTACCACTACATAGGCGGGCACAACAGTTTTTCTCCAGAAAAAATCGACAACCTTAATAATACTATTATTTATGGCCTATATAAAAAATTGCACAAATCAATGTACTTCATCGGTAAAGTAAACAAATTTGTAAATTATCCTTTCATCCTATTACATTATAAATAGATAAAATGGTAATTATTTGGAAGTGGGATCCACCATATTTTCTGCCATGAAAAATCGGAAAATTGATATTTTAATTTTGCTTATTTTCACGGCGCATTTATGATAAAATTAGAGCGGTAATGTATAATTAAAATTTCAATGATTGTACAATA